ACAGTCGAAAATTTCAAGCAACAGTTTAAAACTAATGCTGATTCCCTCTACGCATACATCAACGGTCACTTAAATTGATATCGCACTGAAAGAGATACTGTTCAAGGCCAGCTCATGACCGCTCGTCAGGTTATAGAAAGTCTCAAGGAACAAAGCAATCAGTTGAGTCTTGACCTGAATATTGCCAAGGCCAGTCAATTGTCTATTTCCTCTAAGTCAGCTACAGCCGCCTGGGACTCAGCCTAAATATTCTGCTCCGAGAAATTGTTAAGGTTATGAGATAAATGGGAACATAGTTACCTAGAATTTGTCACAATGTTTGTTCAGATGGTTTAATATTTGGTAATGTGATTGCTGGCAGGTGTCCGATACTTTTCCGATGCTATACATGAGACAGAACATAGACTACTTATATACTCTAATATGACCCATGTCATTGTCTACGTTCTCTCCCCTGACTTACTGCCAACAGCATGCCTAGGTAAAACTCTGCAGCTCATGAGTCCATCTCTCATGGGAGGCATCTGCTGTTCCAGTGGCTGGCGCGCGCGGTCCGAGTACGCGTCGCTGCAATGCCTCAATCACTTACGTGTAATATCCCAGCTGAGCGATCCTGAATCTAGCTGTTCAGGAGCGACAGCAATCCAGTCCATGGTTCGTGCCTGTCGTTTGTATACACACCACAGCGTCGCTCCAATCGTTCCCATACAATGTCTCAGCTCCGTAGTCCTTAGTCCATTACTCAGGAGCGGAAGCAGTTGTATGGTTCCGGTAGCGCGCGAGGTCTGCATATACCTCTGAGCGCTATCCCATAATTGCCCGGCGATACCTAACCGCTTATGGCTAGCGCACGTGGTCAGTAGACCCTTCACGTCGCTACCCAATCGTTGCTTTGCAATGAATGAGCCCGGCGCTCATGAGTCCACTACTCAGGAGCGGGAGCAGTTGTGTCCATGGTCAACGCACGACGTGCAAATGCACCTGTCGGCGCAGAGCCGGTCATTGACGAGCGATATCACAACAATATTCTCCCAGACCCAAGTTCAGTCAAATTTCGCAATATCAAAGAAGTTGGCCCACGTGGCAATGATTCAAATTACTCCACCACGTCGTTTTTTTCGCTCCCAACGAGTTTGACTTCTACCTAAGTCTCATCAAGTCTACAAGTACGACCTAGTACATCCTCATTCCAATGACCATACCTCTCTTCGACCTTCTCTGGCCTCAGTTGACCACCAAATACACGCCCACGCCGATATTTACACCCGACAGAGGAAGCAAAGCGTGGCGCACAAATCTGAGAGACAGTTCTTTGGGATAGAAGTGGGAGGGATCAGGACAAGCTGACAAGATGATGCAAAGGAAGGATGTAACCTCGAAGGGCGTGAAATTCCGAATTTTGGCAAGAGTTTTACGAATTGAGCTTTGTGCGCGTCAAGAATTTGTTAGCGAGAGTGCAGCTGACACTTTAAACACAAACCAACGATGGAAGGTGCCGCGGTCCGCCTCCTAATGGTGTTCTCAGGTATAGTCTGAGTGGCCTATGCACCTATTCCACTTGGGAAGGAGATATCTCAGACCATATTTCGCGCGGAGAAAAGTTGAAAGATGATGGAGGCATGTCTGGGTAACTCAGGGTTTTTGAGACGTTCCCCTGGGTGGGTATTCACGGAAGAGGGTTGACTTGGGGTGAAGAAAAAGCCACCATAACTTTGCAGTGGTGCTTGTAAATGTAATCTGAGGCATGAGAGCTCTTCCTTCAAGATGAATCATTTATTCTGTACTTTTCTTTGATATTGTGTTATAGCAAGGTAGCTGCATACGCAATTAAAATCTGACGCAAAAAAGAAAAAAGTTATCGGTCTCCAATCTTTTATCTGACAAAATCTTTGCTGGCATGGTCTATTGTCTTATGCTGATTGGATATTTTCCAGCTTGAAAATTCTCGGAAGCTTGACCTAAATAAAGGCCAATTGATTAATCCGACGAGCGTGGAATGCCTCATGATGCTTCATTCATTGCACTGCGCTGCCAGATTTGCCCATGGATTCGAATCCAACGTTGTTATTTTTATTGCTTATTTTACTTCTTGAATCATAGACTACCTAGCGCATTGAGCTCCCCTCTGACCCAAGCTTCATCGTCTACAGTGCTCTTACTCTGTTTTACTACTTGAAAAATTATTGATATAATGTCTATGATGAGTAGCCATTCAGCTCAGTATTTACCCATGGAATTCAGCTACCTTTTCCACAGATCCTTCCACCAAAAAAAAAAAAAAGCTAGCATTGGAAACTGTGTGCGCGGAAGAAAGTCTATAAAAACTGCTGCCCCAGCTTGACGAGGCCTAGACTCCGGGACCACATGAGGTGCGCATATCTATATATATCTCCCTTCTTTGTAACATTAGATGCAATTTTGATCCAATCCACCATCTCCATATCGGGTGCTGGGTACGCTCCGGAAACTCATCGGATGGCTTCTCCTCCATGGTCTTTATTTTATTTTTATTTTTTTAAATCATTAAAGTGTATTCAGCTATCTAGCTATGACACATGACCGGTGCTATGTATACATATTGGATGACTCTTTTGATGTTAAAGACACTCATACACTGGATTTCATTCGCAAATACCGCAATAAGGTATGCTTGCTTACACAAACAGTCGATCCTCCTCCGTAAGTACCCACCAAAGGGAATTTCAAAACATTTGGTTATCCAAGCATGCCTTCGTCATCCGTGTACACCAGCGCCGCGAGAAATGTGGTTGTGTTTTGCCGGATTTGAACCAGCGATCTACTGTCTCAAGTGGGATGTGTGTCTAAGCTATCCAGACTCTACTTGGCAGACCGGCCAAGACGATGTACCACAGCACCATCCAACCATGGCAGTTTTTATAGTGTCGCCTGCACTCTTCTCCTTGGTCAATGGTTGGTTATGAGAAGGGCCTTGATCCTATCATCTGATCTGCTCGTGGTTAGCTTCATGACAATGGTGATAGAGGGATATACTTAGGGATGAAAAAGATAAGGACCGCGAAAGCGATTGTGAATCCTCATCGAAGTGAGGACCTTTTTACTCAATCTCAGCTCTGCAAGTTCTAAAGTGGAGCTGTAGGTTCGTAGGGGACACCACGGACAGGTGTCTAGGATAGTTCCCCACAAGTTAATAGAATATTACATGTAATTAATAAATATTGAGAAGAAATTTTTATATCCCATATAACTATCAATAAAAGTCCTGCCGGAAATGGCCCACTTTTTGTTCGAGATATTTCCTCATAGAAATTCTTGACAATTCCAAATAATAATTGAGCAAAAGGTAGATGCTCTTGGTTTGTCGTCATCTACTGACGAGCCAGCTACAATTGCTAGTCTCGGGTTTCCTCTCAATCTTAAACAAGTCGAACTATCCAATGTGCCCGCATCAATAAAAATGGAACAGAATAGAATAGTCTACAGCAGAATAGAGTAAAATACAACAGTACAAAAAATAGCACAATATTATAGACTAGAACAAAAAGCTATGGACTTTGTTTCTATCACTTCCGATGAAGCTTATGGACTTTAAACTTGATCGTCGATATTTTATATGTATGTCTATTATCACAGAAATTGGGAATAATTCATGAGATTGCTTAATGAGAGGCTAGGATTGATTCCAATAAAATTTGGTAGCAGACTTGTCCCAAATATCAGAGGGCTACAACGTCTTTTTCTATCTACTAGTAACTTCCCCACATTCCAACCTCGCTATCCATGAAGGACGTAGCATATAAAACTTGAATCGTATTATCATTTTGGGGTTGAGGTTTACCGTGCATATGCTGCTTGAGTCGCGTGTCTGACTATTATGCGACACGCTCAGGTATCAATTTAGTAACCCACACCAAACCGAGACTACACACAGCCCTGATCATGACCTCATGAATAATTGTAACAGTAGCCTGCTATTGTGAGGTTATGGATCGTGGAAGAATACTGGAATGGTATAGGGAGGTGAAGTATATATGCCGAGCAGCGAAGCAGTTAAATAGAGCTTTAGGGTGACACGAAGAGGTTATGAATAGATCTTCAGAGATATGCAGTAAATGTAATGAGTTGGAGGTCACTGATGGAGAAGAACACTACATATATATACAGTGATTAGCCCTAGTGAGACGAATTTAGAAATAAGCCAGGATGTGCGCCCATGTCCCAGTATGGCGACGTTATCATGGTGAAGGTATGTCTTGACCACCAGTAGACCCCAAGCTAGCTGAGTGTAAGACAGAATCATGCATATACCATCATTTCCAGCACATCTTGCGTTAAGCCCCAAGAATAATTAATATTACAGAAAATACATGTAGCGCAGTATTAAATGATACGAATAACGGAAACGAAAACGAGATGGTACATGACTAGTGTCACAGATTCAGGACTGTTAGAATTACAACACCTGCAACATAGCAAAATTATGGTAGACATCGTTGATCAGTATCTAATCTGAACAGAAGCCCTTGATTGGTAAAAACTTCATGAATTTATACTTTCTTTCAAACATTTGGAATATTCATCCTTGCGTGACATCATCTCCTCACATGCTCCACTATGACTGATTTACATTCTTGATGCAAGTTTCTAGAATCTTCTACTCATGGCCAAACTCATCTAGAGTAAAGAGTCGAAATTGTAGAACTTTGGAGCACAGAATAACATCCATTTGCTACAGGATAATAACTAGCACACTATTAGTCGTACCTGTGAAGCGATTCGGAAAATGCAAAAGTCTGAAAACTATATGAGAGAGTTGTCGCTTAATCCTACTACGTATCAGAGTGCTTTATAATATAACTGTTTCAACAAAGTAAAGAATAAAACTCCTCACCTTTGGCAGATAATGTGAGGCTTGCCAGGGTAAGAGTAACCATACGCCTAGGTATTGGAAAGAAATACGCCTCTCTACATTCCATTCAATAATTGTCTTCATTGCAAACTGACACGAATTTCGAGGCCTGTTACTCTTCGTGGTATTGACATGGTTCCCAGTCTGAGCCACCCAATCTAAACAAGTAGTATTTTTTAGATAACTCGCAATATTGAACTAAATACCATTCTTTATCTGGTTGTAGAAACAATGGTTAACGAGAAAATTGTCAGAGGAATGGGAGACTTACCTTTTCCTTCTTTCTTAACTTCGAATTCATGTGAAATACGAGTCGCACTCAAAGGAACATGAGGTTCTATGGTTCCTGATTTCCCAACAGTAGCATATACTGCTTTTACGATTACTTCTGAAAGGTAAAATTTTTCTTTATTATAACACTCGTAAAATCCTTCTCCGTTCGCGGCAGATACCAGAAGTAAGAGACCGGCCATCGCTGCGGTTGTAGCAGAGCTGAGAAACTTCATTTCGAAAGTGTCGTACGTTTGGAATCAAAATTAGAACTCTAAACAGCTAGCTGCTGATATGAAGACCTGGTCTCGGCGGAGAAGGATCGCAAGATTAAATGAGCCTTGATTGTGGACTTTTTTCGTTACTTTTCGAAGACAGTATTTATGATGGCAAGAGTGAAGAGGATGTTGGTCTGAAATCTCGATAATATTACTTTCCACAGGTAAAACACGCAAATACTTATATACTTCATGAACCTTGTTTCCATGATATCTTTACATGTGTTAAGATTAGTGGAAGCAGCATTGTCTTGGGCCTGTCCCATGGCGGATGGCGGATGGCGGATGGCAGATGGAGCCGGAGGAATGAGGAATCCAATCTCTGACTAAAAAAAGCCATTTCATGGATGATAATCTGACTAAAGCAATCTTAATTTAACCATAAAAGGAAGACTCAATTTCATTCAGCCGAGGATTATACTAGGATATGTTCTTGGTCTCCAATATTTTATCTGACAAAATCTATGCTGGCGTGGTCTATTGTCTTATGCTGATTGGATATTTTCCAGCTTGAAAATTCTCGGAAGCTTGACCTAAATAGAGGCCAATTGATTAATCCGACGAGCGTGGAATGCCTCATGATGCTTCATTCATTGCACTGCGCTGCCAGATTTGCCTATGGAGTCGAATCCAACGTTGTTATTTTTATTACTTATTGTACTTCTTGAATCATAGACTACCTAGCGCATTGAGCTCCCCTCTGACCCAAGACACATTTTCCACAGTGCTCTTATTCTGTTTTACTACTTGAAAATTTTTTGATATAATGTCTATGATGAATAGCCATTCAGCTCAGTATTTACCAATGGAATTTAGCCAACTTTTCCACAGATCCTTCTACCCATAAAAATAAAATAAAATGGTAGCAATGGAAGCTGCGTGCGCGGAGAAAAGTCTCAGAAAACCTGCAGCCCTAGCCAGGAGACTTCCAGACATCGGGACCGCATAAGGTGCGCATACCATCTACATCTCCCTTCTTTGTAATATTAGATGCCATCTTGATCCAATGCAGAATCTCTGTATCGGGTACTGGGTATGCTCATGAAACTCATTGGATGGCTTCTCCGTTATCAAGGGTGTCTGACAAGTAGGATTTTTACCCTGCCATCTAATCTGATTATGTTCCATTTTGTGATAATGGTAACAGGGGATTATGCTGAGAGATAGAGATAAAACAGACCGTGGAAGTGATTGGGAATACTGAGATAATTGAGGACAAAGGCGTTGCTCAATTTCGGCTCTGTAAACTCTCCATGAGAGTTTGAGATTCAAAGAGATGCAACCGACAGGTATTGAGTTTTCATCCACTAGAGCTAAGATTGGATATGGCCTTTGCGTGACATTCAACTTGGACAGGCATGGTCATATGTTAGTGTCTGTATGTTACTATTTGAATTTCTCATGTAAAATTATATTCAATTTGGTACCTAAAGTTTATTGTAGTTCGATTTTTAATTGACGTCCTAAGCAACCGGCACCCTCCGCACTTCTACAGAAGCTTGAGTACGAGTTGGACCCCGCCGGATGAGATTTACTACCGTGAAGTATAGATATGCCTCGCCCCACCTAAATTACCAAACTGCCTTAGATTTCACCTATGTGTTGAATCATCCCAAGCCTGTCCGTCCAGAAACTCGCTGTAAATACGCTGTAGCGTAAATTCCACCTCAGCCTCGGCAACTATACGGGCGAGCCCTTAATATGCTCATTGACTCTGAAATGTAAATATCGTCCTAGATCTTATTTTTGCTCTAGCCTTGCACCTTCACATTGTTCCGTTGGATAGTTTTCGTAATTAGGAATCTATGTGATACATTCGGTGTATATTCCCAATTTTTTTCATCCTTTTTACACGTCCCGTTTCCATCATGACTTTCCTCATCAGGGCGTGTGTAGGTAGGTGGTGTGACAAGTGTGCTGGCGGTTCGCAGTTGTAGGATCAACTAAGAAATGCTTAGGCGCAAATAAAAAAGGAGTTTGAGAGATGTCAGTTGTTTGAATATAACCCTTGGACAGACCTAAATTCCTTCATGAATCGTATGTTATAGTGACGAGATATTGTTCGACTTTCGTGCGCTTGCGTCATCTCTATCGACTAAATTCTCGAGAAAATCACCGAGTACAACTTCACCATTCCGAAAATCCATGAAGAAAAATTCAGCCCACCTTTATTAGTGACTGAATCTCTGCTCTGGGAGAATATTCCACTCCCAGGTTCGTAGAGAAATCCACTGACAGGTATTCTGCCTTCGTCCTCCTAGTCTATTGTAATTGATAAGTGCCTGGTTGAATGTATGGGGCCGTATGACGTCACATTGGCTCCGCCTCTGGATTTTAATATCTTGAATGAACTGAAATAGCCTCATTTAACGTCTTATGCGATATCTATATACAGAGCCATGAGGACGGTAAGCCGCTTTGGTGTCGGAAAAAGCTTTCATCAAACAAAACCCGATGTCCTGCCCCTCTGAACCGACCCGGCTTAATGCTGAGGACGTTCCTTTCAACCGTAAATTTATAAACTTTCCCCAGAATTCGTTAACTCCCCCTTCAATCAGACTAAAGTTATGAGAAATTGAAAAGAGAAGGCACCTCCTCACTCGGCGTTGGTCTTCGAAGTGTTCGAAGAGTCGGCTGTTATGAATCTACTTATTGGCAGATTTTCGAAGCTGTTAAGCTGTAGAGGTCGAGTCGATTTCGACGAAGACAAATTATCGAAGGTTCGAGGTTACAAAGTTACGAAGGTCGAAGGTGCGGAGGTCGAAGGTGCGAAGGTCAAGGTGCGAATGTCAAATGTGCGAAGGTACGAATGAAAGTAATCGAGGCTCGAAATATCAAAGGTTACAAATTCATATGTTCAGATTATGATGTTATCAAAACATCGAGTTCCCAATAAGCAAATTATACAATAAACATAAAAGAAACAAAATTATTAGATCTAAAGAACAAATTCAAATTTCCAGCCTGAACAAATCCTAATCCTGTTGCCTCAGACCTAACCGAATTAAGAAGATAACCCCTGAATCACCACATCCAGATTAAATCTAACAAATTCATAACATCGGCCCTGATGGTGGTGCTGCTACCGAGGCAATGGTTTGTGCTGCTGGGGCTTCGACCACCTTGCGTGGTCGTCCCGGCCCTCTTTTGAGTCCTTCAGCCTTCTTACTGGTGACCAAATTGAATCCTTGATCATCAGTCGTTCCTGTTAAAATTGGCGCTACTTGGCAATGAAGAGTCGCATTAACATGAGATGTAATAAGGTTCGAATATTGCTAGGATGTTCATGACGGGTCATACATTGACCAGCCTCCCAATTATCTAGCATAAGCTAGTGAATCGTGTCCTTCGCTTAGCTGTAGCAATTAGTTTAAATAGCGCTTTGATACAAAGTGAGTTAAATCAACAGCTCTCCATTACCGTTTTCAGACTCTTCAATCTCCCATCTCGCTTTACTAGATGATATTAAATACAAGCCTAACAGCTTACACTACTCTTTACAACTTCTATTCTAACAGTTCCGACTGTTTGTATTGGCGCCATTGTTGGTTTTTCATTCCATATTTCCGCCGTTCTTGACAACAGCTCCATTCGAGCCTTCTCCACACTTCCCTTGTAGACCTGGTAGGTCCGACATGCTGCTTTCTGCCACGCTCTATGCTCCTTGCCATAGTTCGCACAAGAAACCCTTTACCTAGGGTAGTCCTGAGTTTGGTGAGCGCCAGCGCATTCACCGCACCTGGCTGCCTTTCCACACGACGCTTGTGTGTGTCCCCACTGGCTGAGGTCGTAACACTCCATTGGCTGGGCTCGTGGTGACCACACCTGCGCAATGAAGAGCATGGCATTAATTACAAAGCCCTTTCGAACTACCTCTGTTTGCATTGCCTCTGATGGGAGGCTGACCACAATTGATTCTCGATTGTGGCCGTTTTTCTTCAATCGATGGTGCTCCTTTCCATCGTGTAACCACTTGATTCGATTAATCACTAGGCCGGGAATTCGAGCCTTAGTTGCTAACTCAATCTCCCTGATGATAGCGTGGCTTAGGGCATCTCTACCACCCTCAATTCGAGTCCGCAAAGGGATACCAGAAACCTAGACTGGAAAAATATTGCCATAGAATCTTAAACTCGTTGAGTTGACGCATGTTGAGCGCCGCGTCTCTCTGGGACGCAGACTGGACGAACACCTCAGTGTCGTTGCTTCGAATCTGGCGAATCGCTTATGCGCCTTGGATATATTTTTGTGCCTTTGTTAGCAGCTCTTGTGGCTGCAAGTTTTGTGCGCCGTCAATTCTTATTCTGAACGCTGTTTTCGTCATTTGCAGAGCTACGACCGACGCGTAGGTTCTTGGTAGCGGCTTCTCTGATGACACAACAGGAGCTGCTTGTTGCGCGGCATCTGCGATGCTTTTCTTTACCACCTCTTCCAACGCTATCATCCTCTCCTCGATCGGAGATGGGATCTGGGACATCTTTGTCCAAGCCTTCATGTGATAATTGAATGCCTTGACGGCTTCATTTACGTCTTCCATTGTTGATAGGTCCTCCTCATCTATCTCTCCCATCACAATAAGTCTGATCTTCTTTAATAGTTTACCTATTATTTCCAAGTTAGGACCCTTTGGAGCTATCTGCGCTCCTCTGCTGTTGTTTGATGATTCCGTTGTCGCATTTTGCAATGCGTGGAAACCGCTAGATTCACCCACACCAGCACCCACACTTGCCATGTTGGAGCACGGAAAGCGAAATGATGAAAGGAGGGTAATTAAGATGTAAATATAACGATCACGATGTTAAATTCATGATACAGGCAGCGTGGAACACTGCGCAGCTTTCTGGCAAAAATTATGTTTTTTCTCGATTTTAATATCTTGTCTATTAGACATTGGTTTGCCCTTTTTAGAAAAACTACGAACTAGACGAGCCATTGGACAACAGTGGATCCTTTGAATC